ATATTGAACATTTCCTTTCATCAACTAAAAACGTTTTGTTTTAATTTGATAGTATTTACATGTTTAGGCTAATGGTATGCGTTTCAATATTTATGCATTTGTCTTGACTTTAAATTTGATAATTGTAACAGAAACTTGCTAAGATATTAGAAAGTGTTAAGTATGTCCTCATTAACAGCATAAATTTCTAAAAAGACATACAGTATTCCAAAATAGTAATTCTTCAGTCTAGGGAAACATGTATTTGTATGTTCTGTCAGTCTGTTGTTTTAACATCTTTATTGTCGAGATATAAACTTTTCTTAAAAACAATGAACAGGCTCAATCAAATCGACATGCTACATTTTAAATTTTTCCGTTTTGGCGTTTTTTACATTTTTTACATGTTTACATTTTTCTCTTTTTATCATTTTATAGTTTGTTCAATGGCAGTCTATATGTTTCATTTCTAATAAAAAAATGTTAATAAAATATCAGTCTAAAAAAATAAACATTCTATTCCATGTATAGGTTTTATCGTAGCCTACGTATAAAACAACATTAATCCCATTTCCTATTTGTTTCTTTATAGTTTTATGTGTCACGCTGTTCAGCCACAATATTCTTTTATACTGAAAAGAAAACTAATTATGAGAAAGAAAGTGAATGACCCTAAGGCATCGCTTGATTTGCTTTGCTCTTAGTAAAATTAAGATAAAAGAATGCATTTAACTTCTTTGAATTTTTTTATAAAGTGTGCGGGTGCCCGGTTCGATGGGATTAACGTTTCCTGAACGCTATTTCTCTTCCTTGTTGATGTTTTGTCTAATGTTTTACGTTATAAAAAGGTATTAAGAAAATAGCAAACAATAGTCAGCATTTTAATATCATATTGATAATATTTAAATTCTGTGAATACAGGCTGCTATGAAATTTGCATTTGATGTATCTTGTGCGACAAATAAAAAAAACATTTTCTTGCATAGCAGACTGGTGTTTCCGTGAGTTTTTACCCATGCCGGAAATGTCATCTGGCATAGGGGTGCCTGACGGATTCCTGAGGTAAAATTGAAAATGCTACGTGTTTGGGAAATCAATTAATGCATGGTAGTATTAGGTACATGCTACGGTCTTTTCCCCTAACCTGTGACGAAGTTTGTAAAGCAGTATTTTTCCTTTTAGACAACATTTATGTCAGGTTTGGTACGTAATACCATATTACAACAGATAATAGCAATTCCTATGGGTACTAATTGATTACTTTCATAAGAGTGAGGTTTAGTGCACCATTGGCCGGTTTAAATACCGCAGCAGTGCTTATAGTGTTGACCGTTCAAGGTCGGCTACTATGTATTTACCACAGATGTTGTCACATGCAATTGTGGTGACACTTTCTGTGTCCCTTCTTGAGTTTCTCGTCTCGGCTATCATTCTTTTTTTCCCCTTTGGCCCCCTCCCCTTTCCCCGTCCTTCTGGCCCCTTGCCCTGGTGTCATGCTGGACTCCTTAATAGTGGTCCTGTGTTCATTGAATGCCGCCCTTCCTTGTGTATCTGTGGGTTTTTTTTGTTGTTTTTTTTCTTCTTATTTTTTTCTTATTTTTATGCCTGACAAAAGATTTTTAGAGACTGAGTATTATCCGGGAAATTACTTTACATATATTGCAGAGAATTTTATCATATGCAATAATTTACTGTAAAGAGAATACCATTTAATTAAATTGTGGTGTTCTTATGATAAGAATGTCTTAGAAGGCCCATTTAAGATGTAATTTGAAGAAGAAGCATGACAAGGAGAACATAACTCCTGATTTTATTTATCTAATTTTGAAAAAATGAAACAGCAAAATATGCCATATCCACTAGGTTCAGTAGTATTCAATTTCTTTTAAGACAATTGAATTCGTACGGCGAAAAATTGATTGTATCTTTAAAGATTTATTGTCATGAAACTTAGCACCAATGAATAAGGCGGGATAATAGTTAATGTACTTCATGCTCTATCTGTTGATTTTATTTATGATAACACGCAAATTTAAGAAAATACAAATGGCCACGAGTCATAATTGATATTTATTGCGTCTTGATAATGGTGACATGAAAGCGTTGCATGATGTCTGGGAAGTAAGAAATATATGAATCAGTAAATATCTGGCTAAAATTTCGAATGATTCCATTAGTTCTCTTATCGTTTAGTTAAAAACAAAAGAAAATATAACAGTTATATCACTCGTAGTGCTCTTGTTGTCCGTGTGTAGGTTGTGTTCGAGAGTTACTATATCATGACAATTAAAAAAGTGGCTAGACAGTAGCATTTAGTGCATTATGTTGCAATAAACATGCGACAATTAAGTGTTACTCTGTTGTTTTAAATTGGGTGCTGTTAATTAATGTTGATAAAGCTCCAATGCTGAGACAACGCGGTTACCACTTTATTAAATGTCCATACTCGCTTGCTTTACGCATGGTAAACTGGAAAGGTAAACATATTTGCGCATTAGTTCTTTAAAAGTTAAATTATTTGGAAAAGTGTGAATCTGATGATCTTAGGTTTCCGGCAGGTTGCCATGGTAACAGTGTATATTTTGAAAGTATGGATATTAGCTATGGTCAGGCAATCAGCTAGGCGGAAACCTATTAAACCTTATAAACCGACAGTACAACTAATCCAACATTAACAACATAGTAAAACATTTTGTGTTTTAGTAATACACTAGTTTTTTGTTGTTGTTGTTGTTGTTGATGTTTGCTTTTTGTTGTTTTTTATGATTTATAAAAAAAAATTTGTTTTATTTTGTGTGTGTGTGTGTGTGTGTGCTTGTTTCTTTGTTAAGGGGTTTCTCATACATTTAAAATATTATCAAACCATCTATTGCTGTTCTCTAATTATTTGTACCGTATTCCTTCTTTCTGATATATAAGGAGGTTACTGTCCTGCTTGAGAGGGAACAAATGACATTAATCCAATTTTAAGAACACATATATTCCCAATCATTGACATCGTACATGTGACCAACGATATATTTTCCTATAATTGTGAATTATTGAAGTTCTGGAAGCAAGTTAATGTTATATTAGAGAGTGAAATCAATTCTGAATGAAAGGGATGAACGCTTGATACCCAGATTTTTTACAAACTTAGTTGTTCATCAATGAAATAGATACGTTCATTTACTACAGAGGTCGAATAAGATATTGTGAGACTGTAATTTAAGATAAATTGAGCCGCGTCACGACAAAAGCAACAGAATGTGTTTGCGACCAGCATGGATCAAGACCAGCATGCGCATCCGCGCAGTCTGATCAGGATCCATGCTGTTCGCTGTCAGTTTCTTTACTTTTTATTGGGTCTGTAAGTGAACAGCATGGATCCTGATCAGACTGCGCGGATGCGCAGTCTGGTCTGGATCCATGCTGGTCGCAAACGCATTACGTTGGTTTTGTCGTGACGCGGCTCAATTTTATACCATGTGTATCTTGTTGAAGTTTTGCAATTATTTAAGGGCTGTAGCAGGAAAACTATATACAAAAACAACAATAGAGCATAATAAAAAGCCTTATTCTGTGATAATCATTTTGTTACCGTTGAAGAAATGTTATTTAATTCTTTATGTTTTGTTATTTGTTGATGGATTTTTGTAGTGATAATTTCATTTTAATTATCACTGTGATTACTTGTATACTTGTATACAATATGCTGAAAAGATAATAACCTAACCATTTAATGCAGGAAAATCTAAAAAGCGGATGTCACAGTGCCGGCTAAATTGTTTTCTTTTCATATATAAAGAAAGGCATCTATAAAATGCTTATTTTCCGGTTTAGGCAGGTTTTTTCTCCTTTTAATAATAAGCTTGTTATTCTATTCTTCTTAACTGAAAACATATTACATGTACACTATAAATGAAATATTTGCCTCATTAAAAGGCCTTTTAAACTTTTAATAAAATGTTGTAATTGTTGGATCGGGCAACGCATGAATGAGTTTTTGTGTGTGTTGTTTTTTTTCCAATTTTAGCATTTATTAAAGCCATATCAAACGATTCCAAATACCAAAATTAAAACCTCTTAGAAGTTCTTAAGTACAGTATTTATAGATAGATGTATGAAGGTTGGAGGTAAATTGGTTTATTTTTGTAATATATGTTTCTTCAAGTTAGTTCTTTTCACTTCATATTAACTGGACAAGCGAGAATACAGTTTTATCAGAAGGAGGGAGTGGGGTTTTGAGTTTAAAGTCACACTAACTTTGTAAAGGTCATATAGCGACTTCATTATAGAGTAAGACCACGTGTGCCCCTCTGTTTTTAAAGGTACGAACGAGTACCTTAGTAGAACCTACGACATTCTGAAAGCTAGTTGGATATCTTCTTCACTTGAAAGATTTCAAATAGCCTTGAGATTCGAATCTACACTTTCAAACAAAGTGTGCTCCGAGTATCGTTGTTTGTACAACATTTATGAATAAATTATCAATATTTTACCGAAAATATCTACAAATATACAACTCGTACTAAAGCAAAAATAATGTTTGTTTTAGTTTCTTGTTATATGTAACTATGTCATTTATTGATACCTATTGACATTTAGTGAAAATGTAAATTGACACGAAAAAGCCAATTTATGGCAGTTCAGAACAATGGAGGTTAGCCCACCGAAAAATGACCCAAATTTGTGTTAAATTCAGCGTAAAAATAACCACCCAATCTTAAAACAAACATTGCAACGTTTTCAAAAAATGTGTACATTTTATTCAACTACTAGCCTTCCTGTCTTAACGCTGTATTTAACAGACACTTAAAAACACAACTTTGCTATTAAAATTCGTTTCATGTCAATCAAAATGCTACACAGTTTTAACTTTTAAAGCATATTTAAATACCGATATCCATTCTTATTCTCATTATTTTCATGTTAACTTGTTTATTCACATCACAGTTAAAATCACGTGTATATTTCTCGTTTATCACACTGTCTGTTCTATAATTTGCCTTTGCACAAAGTAGACATTTGTTTATTTTCAGGAACTGGCGTTATGAACAGGAGATTGCAGGTTTACTTTGGCGAATCAACAGGGAAGACTTAAAAACATCTGAGTCAATGTCAGGCAATGACAGACGCGCGAGTTTTGGGAGCAGGGTATCTTACATTTTTTCAAATAACTCCTCTATTAAAAACGATATTTTGTAAACAATTGTATATAAAAAATCTTCTATCTTAGGCACAAATGTGCTGATATTGCAGAAAATGAAATCCTGTGGAGTGTCGTAAGGCGGAAATAGTTTATTTTATACATTTTTTAGAATGAAAGACCAGATTAAAGCATAAGGTTTCAGAACTTGCTGTGGCAAAATGATCTTTATACTTAAATATGATTCAAACGACATGACATAAATCATATAATATTATATAAACAGATATAAGGATTTATATATAGTTTACATGCAGAGACGCCATAATGAATATTTTATAGTATATTGTTTCCCCTATTGAGTGCGTGCAATGGTGCTATTTTACATTGAATTTGTTATTTTGATGCCATTACTGCAATGTTTTTCAACTGATGAGATAAGGTAATAACAGTGATGTCGACACGTAAGCAAATTTTATCTGATAACAGGCTTTAGATGAGACATAATTGCATACTTTTTACGTGATTAGGTATAAACTATGTGATGCTTTCAGATGTTTTCCGTGCAAATCTAAGTAAAACACTGTCAATTACTTTTATGTACCCATTACCCTAATTTTTCCAGTGTCAAAACTTTCCCTTTTTTATTTGAAAAGCTATATACATCCAAAAATACCTTTGTCATAATTTAATGACTTCTTTAAGCTATTTACTTATGTTTATCGTCATTTGTGATGACAAAATCTGATTACCGTAAGTCTTAATTACGATAAGTTCAATTAAATAAGTGTTAATCTTGAGGGGTTTATATTTATTGTGTTTCCTACGTATCAGTGGGGACCCTAGATAACGCCTTATATGCGTTTTCTGACTGAGTAGAATACCAACTTCTTTCTAAACAAGAATATGACGATTATAAGCAATGATGATGCAAGATACATGGCAATTAGTACATAGTGGTGCAGATAGATGTAACTTTTAAATAAATGGTTAAAGTGTAAAATAAACTGGCAGAATTTGTCAAATTTAGGCATTTTTATTGCACGAAAACGTAGGGCAAACACTTAATACTGATGGTCATTAAAGTAGCGAACTTGAAACCAGTTAACCTAATAGTTAATTTCTGATTGTTATAAAGCTCGTGAACTTAAAACCAGTAAACCTAAAAGTAAAATTTCTGATTGTTATAAAGCTCGTGAACTTAAAACCAGTAAACCTTACAGTCTTATTACTGATTGTCATTAAATTTGTGAACTAAAGATCAGTTAGGCTAACAGTATCTCACCTTACATAAGCAAACCTGACATTCCTTTATACTCGCGAACCTTAGATTATCAAACCTGACAGTCTCATTAAACTCGGCAAAACGTAACAGTCTCTTTAAACTCATGAACATTAGATCAGAAAACCTAACAGTCTCATTTAAACCCTCGTGAACCTGGGATCAGAAAACCTAAAAGTCTCTCCTTAAACATGATAGTCTCTTTAAACAAGTGAATTAGGGATTGGTAAACTAGGTCAGTAAACGCGAATGCTTTAGAACTTAACCTTTTATGAACGACATGCCTTAAATTATAGCAATATTACCATTGTTTGACTTTGATTTATAATTTAAATCAATTCAATTTTAGATGACATTGTCGCAATTGTCTGTTGATTCAAGGATGTCGTTTACTCAAGTTTACGCACGGACCGGTGGATACAAGGGTCAAATAGTTGCCTTGAAGATGTATGAAAAGAAAAACTTATACATTAGCAGGAAGATGAAAAAGGAAATGAAATTGGTATACAAGTTTGTAGTTAATGACAGAAATTGATAAAGAAAGTCAAGTTAATTTTATAGAATAGGAGTCAATGTTGTAATATACTTGCTAAAAGCATAATATTAAGTAATAACAAGTAATATTGTATATGATTTAAAATATGCATATCGTATCTTGGGCTAATTTTCGATTTCATATTGTAAATGAAACGGGGTTTTCCATTGAATCCAGGTTTAAATGAAATAAATGCTATCGAGAAAGAAAAGATCGAATCCAGACTGACTGGCCAAACTGTTGTTTATGTTTGTTTTATTTTTATTTATGTGTTTGTTTATATATTTTTAGGTTTTATTTTGTAAAATATATATTTACAGATGCGGGATTTACGTCATAGTAATATAAATACTTTTCTCGGGGCTTGCATTGATCCGCCAGTGTTTATTATTGTAACAGAGTATTGTACAAAAGGCAGTTTACTGGTAAATTAAATATTATGTTATCACAGTTTTTTTTTAATTTCTGTCACAGTGGTGATGTATGGATATAGCTATTTACTTAAAACCCATTTTGTTGATTTTACGCCTCACAACGTTAACATAGAATAGGTCATATTGCAACTTTCCATCTTGATTGCAGGAGAGATACCTTAGGTGCCCCTCTGTACAATATTTCAGGCACAAACGGGCACTGAGTGAACCACTGACGTAAGCTACCTGGACAACTTCTTTTCATCTTAAATCCGACGCCTTTTCCACGGCCTACAGCGTGAGAGGCAAGTGGTTTATAGTCATCGACCTTAACCACTCAGTTACGGACGCCCTGGTCATCTATTTAAGAGAAATTATTTTATTAATTTAAGAAATAGAAAGTTTGCGTATTTTTCTTAAACATAGTACTGTATAGTTTATATTTTACTGAATTCGCATTATGATTTGAAATGTAGAATTAAATGATAATTATTAAGAGTTTAAAATTTTCATAAAGTTTCTTGTTATTTTACAGGATATACTGGAGAACGAGGACCTGAAACTAGATAACATGTTTCTGTTTTCCATTATGAGAGATATTGTACAGGTGAAATTAAATAAAAAAAAATGTTGGTCTGTAAATAACAAGAAGTTCAAACATAGTTATACATTATCATTGTAGATCACGTTGTTTATGGTTTAATATTGTATTTGAAAATTTTATTTCAAATTATCATTATTATTGTAACTTTTTAACATAACAATTAAGAACATACTAAATTGCATTCCTGCCGAGCACGCCTAGGTTTTGAAGAACATTTTTTTTTATATTTAAAGCCATGTGTTCAGATACAGACTGTAATAAAAAGAAAAATATCATGAAATCTAAGATTTATTTTCAAAATGTCAGTAATAATTTCAATATTTTTACGGGTTTTTTTTTTCATTAATGTACAATGTGTTTTTGTTAAACGAAGAAGCCAGTATGATTTAAATGACACTCGTTCTTTTATGAGGAATATAGGAAGCCTTCAAATATAAAATGTGGCGAAATAAATATAACACGTCTGTCAGCTTAACTCTATCCGTTTTCATAATTACTTCAGTTGAATTATTTATGGTGGCGGTCTGTCACCGCTAATAGGTCTTTATGGATTTCTGACACTGAGCTTTAAAATGCCAGCGGTCAGTTTCAACGAAAAATGAAGTTTTTATATGCGTCTAATCAGATTAGCTGAAAAATGAGAAATTCTTCTTTGAGGGAACATTTCTTAATGAACAATAAATATCATACAGGGGGAGAATTCATGTTACCATTCTCTGACGTATGCGTGCGTGTGAGACGTTTTTAAATGTCCCTTTATTTGAAGTCAAATTTGTAATCATGGAATAATTGTCAAATGGCATGATCTTTATTAAGATAGCAGATGTTTAGGGTAGACTTAATTCTTAGCTTTTAATTCAAAATATGCGGTAATACATCATATTAACTTCATTGTAACATTTCATTATTTCATAATTTCTCTATACTACATACTAAACATACGCTGGTCTGTTATTCTAGTATCTTATCTGTTTTATTCTAACTGTTTCAAATTATACTGCAAAGACTTTGAAAATGATCCCCCATTACTTTTTTAAAGACGTTTAGTCTTATTTTATAATTGATATCGTGTATTTTCTTGGTGGTCAGACAAAGTCTGAGAAAATGCGGACTTACATAAATTAACTGACTTAAACTATAATTTATTTCATGTTCTTACTTGTATTTATGTATTAAGTCATACATGTTTGCACATGATTTGATATGATTTTTTTATCTGAAGTTTAATAGCCAGTTATGCTCCAGAAAAGCTTTAACTTTTTTTTTAAGTTTCTTTTTTCTTTTTTAATTAAAACGTAATAAAATTCACGTTTGCCTTTTCTTAAGAAGGAAAGATTTATTCGTTTCTGATACATAATTTTAGAAGCATGACTTAAGTGATAAATCATTTCTATATGAAGATTTAACCACAATACAACAATTCAATATACCGGTATTAAGCTATTTGTTATTATTTTTTATTTTTCTTCTTCCGCATAGAGTTTGTCTGTTGCCTGTGGTTAATTTCATCCGTCTCAGACAAAACAAGTTGATAAATGTAAGGTTAATTCACCACGGGCAATGTCGTTAAGAAAGGCAATAGCAGAAAATGAAAACTCTTAAAACTCCGACAGAAATAACAAAAAATATTCCCAATGATATGCCAGTCTTTGCCTGATTCTTAATAACATGAGGTTGTCAAAGAATGACAAAAATCTGCAAGAATGGAATATATTATCACTCAAGCGTAATATAAACAATGCAAGTCACGCATATAAAACACATTTATAATCTCTTTCAGTTCCGCTTATTTCGTGAAAGACGATTTCTTGGCATTTACACTGTATAACAAACGGGCAGGGTGTAATCATAAGATAATTTTTTAACAACTCTGACATCTTGAAAAATGTGTCTAGCAAGTCAGTATAATATACGTATTTTCATTGTTTTGTTACCATTTGTTGGAACGTCAAATATAAAATGTCTCTGTGTTTTCAGGGAATGATATTTCTTCACGACAGTGAACTAATCTACCATGGTAATTTAAAAAGTTCAAATTGTGTGGTAAACAGTCGATGGTCTGTACAGATCACAGATTTTGGTCTGTTAGAAGTCAGAGCTGCAACCTACAAGATTGAAGATGAGCATGCTTTCTTCAGAAGTAAGTTACGAGAATATGTTATATAGGACAATTGGATCAAAAACCAACACAAATTAAGTATCAAAACATGTTTCGCTTTATTCAGCTTCCTCAGTTGATACATAAAGAAAAAAATGTGTGATAGCAATATGAACCTTAAATTATTGACTGAATTATGGAAAAGAAATAAACACAGCATTTGCAACTGAATAATTATGGAATATGTTTCCTACATTATTACTAACTTTATTATTATTATATTTGTATTGACTGCATTACTGCCGACCTATTTTTATGGAACGCCATGACAGTCTTATCCTATCAATGTTTTTGCTATCTTGTGAAATGATGATTTTATTTTGTCATTTAAGCATATTAACATGTGCAATTTACATGATATCTTGTCTAAAGACAATGCTGACTTGTTCAAACAGCAACTTGTCAAATAATCATCATGACATGTGCAGACAACATGTTAACTTGTCAAAGTATCATGATGACTTATGCAAACGACATGTTAACTTGTCAAAGTATCATGATGACTTGTGCAAACGCCATGTTAACTTGTCAAAGTATCATGATGACTTATGCAAACGACATGTTAACTTGTCAAAATATCATGATGACTTATGCAAACGACATGTTAACTTGTCAAAATTTCATGATGGCATGTGCAAACAGCATGTTAACTTGTCGAATTATCGTGATGACATGCTCATAATACCTTTACAAGTTAACATGTGTTTTGCACAAGTCATCACGATTCTTTAACAAATTAACATGTTGTCTGCACAAGTCATCATAATACCTTTACAAGTTAATATGGCATTTGCACAAGTCATCATGATACATTGACAAGTAAGAATGGAGTTTGCACAAGTCATCACGATACCTTGACAAGTTAACATGCTGTTTGCACATGTCATCATGAAATTTTGACAAGTTAACATGTCGCTTTCACAAGTCACCATGATACTTGGACAAGTTTATGGAAGCTTGAATTGACCCCCTAGATGCCGTGTTCGTGATTACTCATGTGCCGTCATGTCGACTTATATTTACGCGACATGACATCTTCTATCATTGTTTGGTGAGATAATAAAGACGTGTGGGCAACGTTTGTTTCAAGGCATGTCGACATATTTTTTGTCAGTAATGGAGTTAATGGGAATAAATAATAGCTATGTCAATGTATTTCATCTCGACAAGCCTTGTTATATCTGCTTCTTGGAATATATCACCGCGTATTAACATCATGGGCACTGTCGGAAAGACCCAATTAATATTCGGAAAGTAAACTCCTCCCACCAAACCAAAATCTTAGTACATTGAATGGTTCATCTTTTGAATAACATATTGGTAGACACTTTGGTAGGTCATTTGTGTTTTAATATAAAATTTGGTATATGTCCGTTTCTGTAGTGCATTTTGTATATGCGTTTTTATCTAACTAGCAGTTATACCAATTAAATTATGTCACAGGGTGAGAAAAATGTGCAGCCTGACCGGGACTCAAACCCGATATTGTAAAATATCAACTCAATTGATACATTAAGATCAAATTAAACATCAGACTGGTAAACTTTAAATATAGCCGAAATTGTTTCCTTAATAATGGACGATTCTATAAATATTTAGTTTATAAAGAAAATCAACGATATAGTTACACAATACGTCAGTCATTACTCGATGGGCGGGATTTAGTTTCCGAATAATAATTATGACGTTCAAATGGTCCCCGTCCTGTTTTATAATAGACATAAGTTATGTCGACATGGTCTGATACAGATGTTGTAAATATTCTATGTCTCTCCATCAAAACCATGATACAGCACGCCATGTCGCACAAATATATATCAACATGAACACATATAAATTATCACGGACCACGGCATCTCGGGGGGTCAATTCAAGCTTCCATACAAGTTAGCATGTTGTGTGCACATGTTATCACGATGATTTGTACGGAAGCTTGTATGTACCCCCGCTATGATGACATGAAGTCGTCTCCCTCGACTTATAGAACACAACAAGTCGTCAAAATTACAACGACAAGTTTATATATACCATGTCATTTTGACAAAATATATGTCATCATGTCGAGATACGGTATCCCGACTTTCATACGTTAATATATGTGTCGACTAGAAATAACATGGATGTCGACATACATGTTACTTCAAGTCGACAAATTTATTTATGTAAGAAAGTCGGGATGCCGTATCTTGACATGATGACATATATTTTGTCAAAATGACATGGTATATATAAACTTGTCGTCGTAATTTTGACGACTTGTTGTGTTCTATAAGTCGAGGGAGACGACTTCATGTCATCATAGCGGGGGTACATACAAGCTTCCGTAGATTTGACAAGTAAACATACTGTTTGCACATGTCATCATGAAATTTTGACAAGTTAGCATGGCATTTGCACAATTCATCATTATACTTGGACAAGTAAACATGTCGTTTGCACATGTCATCATGTTACATGGACAAATTAACATGCTGTATGCACATGTCATAACGATAATTCGACAAGTTAACATGCTGTTTACACATGTCATCATGGAAGCTTGAATTGACCCCTTGAGATGCCGTGGTCCGTGATGATTTATATGCGGTCATGTTGATATATATTAGTGCGACATGGCGTGTTGTATCATGGTTTTGATGGAGAAATACAGAATCTTTACAACATCTGTATCAGACCATGTCGACATAACTTATGTCTATTATAAAACAGGACGGGAACCATTTGAACGTCATAATTATTATTCGGAAACTAAATCCCGCCAATCGAGTAATGACTGATGTATAGTATAACTATATCGTTGATTTTATTTATAAACTAAATATTTAGAATCGTCCATTACTAAGAAAACAATTTTGGCTTTATTAAAAGTTTATCAGTATGGTGTTAAATTGGATTTTAAGTTATCAACTAAGTTGATTGTTTACAATAAAAGCTGTGCATTTCGTTTAATAACCTTAATGGAAATAAAATAAGTTAAATAACTTAAATACCCTTTCGTGGGACACTTTTGAAGATAAACATAACAATTAGTTTTATGCATATACATGTGTACTTACATTTGAATGCATTTTGTAGGCTTTTATCAACCTGGCTGGCAGTAGAACCAAAACATATATCAGTCAGTGTTTGATATAATAAACGTATTGATATGCATTTACTACTGAAAAGATATCCGGATACCATTGAAAGGACATTTCAGTTAACAGCCAAATTTACTGTTTTGTTCATTATTATATTGATAACTTTGCAAATGACAGTATATCGGTTAGGTATATCAACAATGTTTATGACAGTAAAATTCAAAGAGACACACTAACACGAACGGACGTCTGAATTCCTTTCAATGTTTTCCTGTAAACTGTTCTGTCAATATGTATGTCACGAATTCACGAAGTGATTGGCAGTATAACAGTCACATATATATGTGCCTATTCACGGTTGAAAACGTCATATTAAGTACAACTGGGTTCCATCTGAGGGTCGTCCGGAACCAAGCCCTGTGTTAATGCATATCAGTTAAGTTACTCTCAGCTTTGCTATACAAGTATTATGCTGAAGACACCATTATAAAGACGTACATCTTTGAAAGGACATATGAATTTCCATCAATGTATATACAAAATGAATTGCATGTCCCACTAGCAAACAGCCAAATATTCTTCTGGGCAACAATGTTTCTGACAAATACTGCTATTTTTTAATATTTATCTGATTTTTTTTTTAATTTTATTTCATTTTATTACATTTGAACTCCTTTCAAAATGTTTTTAGTTACCTTTTAATTTTATATGTACAATACTATAACTCAGAATAGTACATTTGGCTGCAAACTGAAATATCATTTTAAAGGTGTCCAAACGTCTTGATAAGTGTACATGTATATATACGTATGTAAAACATATGGTTGCTAACCAAGCACTGACTAAAATAATTTATCTGGTATAACTGCTAGTTAGATAAAAACGCATATACAAAATGCACTGCAGAATAGGACATATACCAAATTTTAAATTAAAACACAAATTACTTTTCAAAGTGTCTACCAATATGTTCTTCAAAGGATGAACCATTCAATGTATTAAGATTTTGGTTTTGTGGGAGGGGTTTACTTTCCGAATATTAATTGGGTCTTTCCGACAGTGCCCATGATGTTAATACGCGGTGATATATTCCAAGAAGCAGATATAACAAGGCTTGTCGAGATGAAATACGTTGACATAGCTTTTATCAATCCTCATCAGCTCCATTACTGACAATAAATTTGTCGACATGCCTTGAAACAAACGTTGCACATACGCCTTTATTATCTCACAAAACAATGATAGAAGACGTCATATCGTGTAAATATAATTCGACATGACGACACACGAGTAATCACGAACACGGCATCTAAGGGGTCAATTCAAGCTTCCATACATGTTAGCATGGTATTTGCACAAGTTATCATAATACTTTGACAAGTTAACAGTACGTTTTGACATGTCAGCATGATACAAGATAACATGTCATTTGCACAAGTCATCACGATTCTTTGACAAGTTCACATGTTGTCTTCACAAGTCAGCATTGTAATTTGACATGTTAACATGCTGTTTGCACATGTCATCACGATAATTCGACAAGTTAACATGTCGTTTGCACAAGTCATCATGACACTTTGACAAGTTTACATGCTGTTTGCACATGTCATCACAATAATTCGACAAGTTAACATGTCGTTTGCACAAGTCATCATTACATTTTGACAAGTTACCATGTCATTTGCACAAGTCATCATTATACTTTGACAAGTTAACATGTTGTTTGCACAAGTCATCACGATACTTTGACAAGTTAGCATGTTGTCTGCACATGTCATCATAATGATTTGACAAGTTAACATGCTGTTTGTACAAGTCAGCATGTTCCTTTGACAAGACATGATGTAAATTGCACATGTTAACATGCTCAAACGACAAAATAATATCATCGTTTCACAAGATAAGAAAAACATTGATTACATAAGACAGTCACGGCGTTCCATATATTTTCGTTACCGCTGGAGCACCTATTTATTCTGCCTTCCCAGTGTAATAAATAATGTGGCTAATGTGACCCTTTTAAAACATTAACATAAATGATTGTATCGTTACTCAGTCTTTAAGTTGCAAATATCAATCGTACCAAATCGTTTTAGAAGTAATATAGAAGGCCTTAATTACCTTATCATTTCTTTGTTTTTCTAGTATCTTACAGTGTAAGCAATGTATTTCTGATATTCTTAAATTGTCTTCCTCCATAGTAAAGGTGAAAGGTCGCCGTGAGAGCATTTATATGTCAGTGTGACTTTAAACCAAACTAGAAATCTATCAATATGAATCTGATCAATTTTTGTCTACATTTACTATTAGATTTATTCTGGAAGTCTCCAGAATGCCTGAAATCGTCTGTACTCAAGGGCTCTCAAAAAGCTGATGTATATTCATTTGGTATTATTCTGCACGAGATTTTTGGCAGGGCGGGACCATACGGCTTCTGCAACATGAGTCCAAGAGGTGAGTAATAGTGACATTAAGATACATACATGTAAACGAGAATTCATATTTTAGTAACTGAAACTCAACATTCATATCGCACTTCATGTATGTATAATAATTAACTCGTTGTGCATTAAGTTTATTTGCATGTTATAAAATACAGACGCCTTATACACTAGATTATGTTTATGAAACAATCTTATTAAAATCAATCATTCAAATCATTCTTATTTGTACTAACAATAGAGAACGTTTATGAATTTTGTATTATTTTGTGTTCTAGAGATTATAGAGAGAGTGAAGAACGACGGCGTGTTTGAACCATTCCGTCCTAACGTGAGGTTGTTGTCATGTGACAGCTTTATCATTGAGTGTATGCAGTCATGCTGGCACGAAAATCCTGATGAGAGGCCGGATTTCCGTACAATCCGTAAAGTGTTAAGACCTTTACGATTTGGAGCGTAAGACAGTTTCTCATTAATATTTAATCAAATGTATTTTGGAAACTGATTATTGATTTGTTAGTTCAATTGGGAAGACTATATGTCACATAAACTTATGATATACAAACAATTGAAATAGATCCTTTGTTTGCATTAAGTAAACAATATTACTGATACAAATAAGCTAAATACATGTACATACATCAAAAGCTTCACTTAAGAAACCTTTCATTTTTTCATATTAAATGATATAACATTAAAAACAAGGATATATTGTTTTGAAAGTACGAAACCTTTCAAATTACACTAAACGTTTTTATAATTCCTGAAAGACAGACATGATTCCTATTTCAAGATTTTACATCATTTAGAATATTAAAACATATCGATGGTGCATCTCATATATAAAAATTCTTTCTCAGAAAACGAAATATATTTGACAACATGATGGCAATGATGGAGAAATACCAGAAAAATCTGGAAGATATTGTAGAGGAACGAACTACATTGCTTATTGAAGAAAAGAAGAAAACAGAAGGCCTACTTCTAAGAATGCTACCAAAGTAAGATGAATGAATAAACACAAATAATTCACATACAAGTCTGTTATATCGATGCATTAAAATTTCTGAATTACATTTCAAAAACAAATGGTATAAATGAAATAGAAACATAAAAAATAGAGCTAGGTAATGAAATTATAAATTAACTGTTGATCCCAAACAATTTAAGTAAAACCCCTAATACAATACGATATTTGAAATAAGATCCTTCTTGTTTTCTTTCTTTTTAGTGGGGGATAATTCAAATAATTCGGACAAACAGGTACATTCCAAAATCATGTACAAGTTTTTATTAATTGTACATTTACTTTCATTTAGGTTCCGAGACAATTTTGATGTACAATACTAAAATACTTAGTTTCAATATATAAATATATTAAAGGTGTGTAGCTGATCAACTGAAGCTCGGTGAGGCTGTGATTCCAGAATCGTACGACTGTGTTACAATTTACTTCAGTGATATATGTGGATTTACACGCCTGTCTGCAGAAAGCACTCCTATGGAGGTATTTGATTTATTATACTAAAATGCTCTTTTATATCGTTCATTTCCGAAAACGACTAAATGTCTTTCATAAACTACAGGTTTCAGACATTCAAGTGAACTTTTTCTGGGTTAAAAGTTCTTTGCAGATTGATATTCTGTAAACAATTATTAATACACAGATATTTTGCCATGGACATTTCTAAAAAATATAGCAAAGATTCTAGGTATATCAATTCTCAGAAAAGTTAGTATAACAATAAATAGTCTTTGATCTGCAAATCGGAAGTTTTAGTTTTATGAGTAGAAGAATGACACGTTTTTTTATGAAATGTATTTATTTCAGGTTGTCGACATGTTGAATGATCTGTATACAATATTTGATAATATCATTCGGCATTTTGATGTCTTCAAGATAGAAACTATCGGTAATATTTGTATTACTTCCATATGATAACTTTATTTAATACTTAATACTAAAATGACAAAATAAAATAGTTAATAACATTGTTTTAAATAAATGACAAAATAAAATAATTTATTGCATTGTTTTAAATGTCAAATTATGTTTTAAAAATACATTTTTTGTCATTTTCACATGTTGTTTATTACACGTCGTTCAAGTTTGGTGTAAAGCGGGAGAATGATATTTCTGATATTATGGAGATGCCATTAATTGTATTGAACGAGCAACTAGAGATTAACCACAGTTTTGTGTACTTGTAGGGGATGCATACATGGTTGTCAGTGGATTACCAATAAGAAATGGTGATAACCATGCTGGAGAGATAGCGTCAATGTCACTAAAACTGTTGAAGGAAATCAAGAACTTCACGGTCAGGCACCGTCCCGACTATAAAATGTCACTCAGGATTGGAATGCACTCAGGTATTTCTATAATTAAATAGTGTTTGTCATAGAATGCACTCAGGTATTTCTATTAATAAACGTGTTTGTCATAGAATATTTAACGATGATACTTTCAAGAATATTACAGAGCTTGAAATTTAGTTAATGTTTATATAGCAAAATAAAATGTCATTATTTTGTCGTAATGATTTAACTAATACATATCTAAAACAATTAATGAATAAATTTATTTACAACATGTGCAATTGAAAAGGACTGCTTATCAGGTAAATGTGAAATCAAGTATCATGATTAAGAATAGGTTTCTTGAAGCTTGAAGTATTGTCAACGTGTTATTTTATATATTTGACAGGTCCTTGCGTAGCAGGGGTAGTTGGTTTAACAATGCCGCGCTATACATTATTTGGTGATACTGTAAACACAGCGTCCAGGATGGAAACAAACGGAGAACGTAATTATTGTCCTCTTTTAATTCCTTGTTACTCTTGAAATTACTTTTTAATACAAATTCATTTCTGCCAAAACGAAGGGGAATAATCTTGATATATTTTCTAAATGTAAAATTTATGTTTGTCTCCCTTGCAAAATAATAAAACGCTTTACAAGTAACATATTTCAATTTATCTTAAATGATGTTGAGTAATATTGATAAATATATAAATAATAACTTTACAGCAATGAAGATTCACTGTAGCCAGCAAGTTAAAGATATCCTAGAGAAATTAAGGGGCTACCATATGGAATCACGCGGAAAAGTTGCTATGAAGGTTGTTTCAAATGTTTTTATGTATTCTTATTTTATTAATACATAATTATTGTCATTGTTGATTTTAATATAAATGTATTATAATTTCTTTAAAAAATTTAACTGACAAATTGATTGATTGATTGATTGATTGATCACATTTTTTTTATTGATTATTGATTGATTTGAACGCTTCAAATAATCAAATATCAAGATGACGATATATAATACAGTTCTTCTCTGTTTTATATCTAACTTATTTGATTTGTATATATATATATATATATATGTAAATTTAGCAAAAATAAATGCTATGTTTGTATTGCTCACAGGGCAAAGGTGAACTACATACATACTGGCTGGTAAAAGAGGATGAACATGTTAGACAGGAAAGGATCAAGAACGCTCCAAAGATAACAGAAATTTATAAAAATAATTACTTCCAGCCAGGAACGCCCAATGTTGCCCATAGATGCTTCAATTCCAATAAAATGAAGTCATCGCCACAAAATTTCCTCAACAAAACAACGTGTATCCGTGAACATGAAGATAATCTTAAAGTGCCAGACTCAAATATTCTAGAACTTTTACGAGAAAGCGACAAGGCTCATCCACGAGGTGATACACAGATGTTAAAACCCTTCAATCATTGTCAAAGGGAAAATACCGGTAATACAACATCTCTTGGAGTAAACAGTAATCACGTCACACTCAAGGCTCAGCTCAACGGAATAACGACCGATCTTTTCACTCGGTCATCGTCCGGTTCTGACTTGACGTCACCGAAGCAATGGACGCCACGTGACACGAACGGTATATTGAACGACGCCTCTAACGAATCTGAGTGCTTGTTGATCAGACATCATTCAGTAGGCCACAAACCCAAATCAAGATACGAATTAACGGAGGACATGTGTAACAACTATTCAATGAAAAATGATCAAAGGATGAACAGGGAAGAGGAAATATCAAATACGAAAGTATAATAACAGGCATGTAAAGTGACCCTATTTTGACCCTTTTACCGTTATGCAAATAATATTTGTACCAGAACCTTTGTGTTGATACATTGTGCCGCAATATGGTGATGTTATTTACACAAATGTGTGCGTTTGCTAAAATCACATGAAAGGTAGTGTTTTGTTATTCGTTAGGATACAAGGATCTTACATGTACATCATTAACAATTATTTCATATATTTGAATTCCTGTAAAATAATAAGAACACATCATTTGCTTCATATAGGTTTTTTTATTACATTCTATTACTCATAAATGACGTTTTGGCTAACATTAAGATGAATTATAAATACACTGTCAATTAAAGATGAAAATTCTAGAGTTAAACTATGTACATTCCATTACTTATATTTTTACATTCGAACGTTTTTATATTTAATTCGTTTGTTGTTTTTTTATTGTTTTTCTCTTCTTATTCATTTTTTTATTATTTTTTGTTTTTCGTTTTGTTTATATTTTTACCCTTGAACAGGAATGTTTATATTTTATTTGTTTATTTTTTTATTCATCTTTTATTCTTTATTTGTCTTTTCATTTTGTTCTTTTTCGCAAGGGAGGAATCATGGCTTGGTTATTTATATTTATACTTTTGTGGGAGGAGGTGTCATTCCATCTTATACTTGTACATCTGTGGTAACTGATACATAGAACATTTATATATGTGTCTAAAAGTGTAAGCTCGTCCATCACATGACTTGTTATATATTATTCTTGTTTTGTTTAAATGATGTTATTTAGTATTATCTGTAATATAACATGATAATGAATTATTTAACTGTTGGTAGATTTACGCCATCATGTTACATTTTGATACGTCATTTTAATAAACTTGAAATAGTGTGCCATAACATTCCCACGATGTGTAATGTTTATCATTTTTATTTGTTTGGGTCGTCAGACCAAACAAATAATGGTAGCGAAATTTCAGAGTCTAATGCTGTTAATTGCAAATGCCTAAAGTAGTCCACTTTTTTGATTCATTACAGACCGACATTCCTCACTTACCAGACAGAAAAAATATGCTTAAAACCAATTCAAATAATGTTGCATGGATTCATTTCACACTGCTTGCAGAATGTCAATATGTATGCCTTCGCGCTGGTGAAAGGGCAGTAATACCATGTCATGATATATAACTGTGCACGCGATATTCATTACCTATATATACAACGATTAAAAGAAATCTTTAATGTCATTAGGGCTTGAAAAGTGAGTGTTTAAATATCAAATCTTAATCTTCATAATTTTCACATCTGACATCTGACAATGGTTCTGTTAACGTTTGCGCTACCGTGTAACTAACAATCACTCATGTTCAGATTTGACTCCATTATTCAGAGACAGTGCCAGGTATCCGTTTCATGTTTTGGTTTTATGTTTTCTTGAAAAATCTCATACCAATTTATTTTAATTTAATATTGGGGTAGATTCACTTGCGTAGTAACTTTTTTAACGATAAATCATCAACATTCTATAGTGCTTCTTCAACAAAGTTGTAAAGTTGAAGGTAATGTCAGTACGCAATAACAATCGTTTTAACTAAATTAATAAATTGTGTCGCTTGTATGTTCAGGAAAATGATAACAAATCCGAGCATCTTGCTCAACGTTAACCGGGCATTCGCCAATGCTTTTCCATGACGGAAACATTTGTCTAATCAATCCTCTATCCAACTCAAACATACATTCTATTAAGCTGACTCTAAGGTTTTAGTAGTGTGACATAGCTGTGTCGAAAGTTTGATACTGCTGTCTGTGGCGATTGTTTTCTTGCGTATTTAATATTTACGTAGGTTGATAGAAATTACGAAACTAATATCTAATAATTAAGCGCGCTTTACAAAAGCGGTAAAAGTATTTCCATCTTCTTTTATAACGACGGGTAAGCATCACCATTAACAGAAAACTGCTTCATAAACCCTATAAAATGGCATCATACGGTTTATTCTTACATCGGGGGTGTAAGATGACATTTTAAGCTAACCTTTATGCCTGACATTTGTTGTGTGATAGTTGTTTTATATTGTTACAATCAATTTTACCTGTAGCCCATATATCACTATAAAGATGTCTGCACAGTTCACCTTTATCTTTTAATTCTTGCACAATTTATTAAATTCTTTAGCAAAACATTTTTTTTTTACTTTTATTATTTAATTTACATTAAAAAGGTCTAGTAGATGTTCATGAAACGTACCACTCACAAACACCAGATACTCTTTGTTATCGGACATCTCTTCAGAAAATTATATTATTGGTATACATGTGTGAAATGCAGAATTTTATTTTATGCTTTCAGTGGATTACTGATTTATCCGTGAAAATTATATTTGATAATTTCACAGTGAAAATTATCAAAATATAATTTCACACTTTTCAATGACGAAACTACTTTTTTAAGATTTTCCCCATGTGGTACCTCAATTTTATTTTTGCTGACTATTCCGACAATGCCAGGCTGCTTAAAGAAAAGCAAAGCTGAAATTGATAAATAATTTGCATATCAAAATTAAGAAAAAGAAGAAAACTTACAGTATGTCACTTCTATTCATTCAAATTACCAATCCTCAAATATCGTCTCTTTAATTTTTTGTTTCATTTTTACAGTCTGAAAAATACATTCCTTCAACATGCAAAACTGCTCTTGATGACATTTGGGAATATTTAAGTATCCTACGAGCAATAACTGCCGTATGCTTTATGAAAACTTAAAAAGCAATGGCAGCTTTCACTCGAAGAATATGTAAAAAACCCAGCGTTCGTAAGGCTTCCAAGTTTTCCAATTTCCTATCCACTTTTTTGAATGTTTACACATCTGTCAACACTTATTTATTGTCTGTTACAATCCTCAAATAAGTTTTCTTTCTTTTAAAAAGGTGTATGGCTAACAAATCCAAATGATATCCCTCTGAATCAAACACAATTATTTTCCTCCAGTGAAATACACAACTTTAAAAATGGCGGCCGTTTACATTTAACAAAGCCAGGTCTAATATAAATTCGCAGTCAGTAACAGAAATATGGATGGATGGTTGGACTTTTTCTCCTACTAGAATTGTTTGTTTTTATTATTAAAACAAGCGATCAGACATATTTTTTTAATAAAATGAATACTATCACTACCTTTTAACATTGATTGTGGAACTTTTTTTCAGCCCATGACTTCTTGTATTTAATGAGAAATTCGACTTTTTTTGAGGCTCTCAATGGGGAAAACAGATTTTAATATTAACGTAAATATTAAGGAAATTTCGTTTTAACCTGTTTTTAAGCATAAAATAAAAAGAAAATTTGTTTGTTTGTTGTGAAAGATGTAATTTTATTTCATCTCGTGAACTTTAAAAACAGTATTCTCTTGAGAATACTGTTTTTAAAGCCCACTCGATGAAATAAAATTTCATCTTACACACAAACAAACACATATCCTCTATATCATTTATTCTTGTACATAAGTTGTTTGTTTTAATACACGTGTTGTTTGCAAACGTTTGATAGATAAAGCGTATGTTAGAGTTACATCAAACAGAATAAAAACTGAATTATTGAAATATTTTAAATTTTGCATGATCATAAATGTAATTACAGAAAAATTCTTGTTTTAAAATTTAAAAAAAAATGAATTATTTACAAACATAATTTTACTCATAAACCCAACTTTTTAGTTCAAAATTTACTGACAGTAGGCAGTGTTTGATAATAAAAAATAAACAGTTCTATTTACACTTTGAGAGGGCATTAATTAACTAAACAACAATGCTAAAACACGTATATCAAAACACGTATACCAAACTCTAAAAGTATATATTTCTGGGTATTCAAATTTTAGTCTATTTTAATTGATAAAGCTTTTTATTTGTAAAGATTCGTAGCCTAATCTCTATTCACCAATAAATACCGCCTTGAGCTCAACATCGAACTTTTCGCTCCACCTCTTGCCCTTCGCTCCACTACTTTCGAAAAATAGTGATATATAAATTTAAGAACTCCACCTAGAGTAGTTCATTTTTTACGAAAGACAAGTTCTTGTAACGCGGAGATATTTTTCTATTACACTTCTTCAAGAAATCCGAAATGTAGAAAATGTTCATGGTTTGGAAGTGTTATATTTAACAAATAGTCGTTCACTACTTCAGGGGGAAAAGTTCTCCCGAATCTAATTTATTTTTTATTTTCACAACAGCTTAGATCATTGGAAGCCTTATCATTTCTACACGGAACTTTATTGGTCGATTTTTGAGAAAATAAAAAACAATCAAATGAATTAAAAGACAAAAACATAAATGATTCAGTTTTCCATTTAAAGCGGCCTTCTGTGCCATCTCGGAAATGCGTTCGCGCTTTATAGTGAAGCGTAAGTTTGCGTAAAGAAGAATAAATGAAAAAAATACTCAAAACAAAATTATAAAGTCTTAACATTTTGGACAGTCACTTTAAACAAAGCCAGCTACATGAAATGTGGACAAATGTGGCATTGCTTACATTGATTGTGAAATATATGTCCTTGAAATAAGCATACTATTCATATTAACATGGGCAGATAACTCGAAAACAAGTTCGGGTACTCCAAATATTATTTCGCTTCATATGTTTCTGTTATTATATTCTGAGATCATGCAAAGTTAAAATCAATTCTATTATACAGTTTTGATTATGTTATATGTCTATAATTATGTAATTCTAGCATACACATTTGAATCACAAGTTTTACTGGTAACAGATAAAAAGTGTCGTTTTGCAATAAGGCAGTTAAAATACTTATAAATGATATATTTTGTTTAAAAAAAGTTGTAACTTATATTTACAGATCATATGCCCCCAAAAATGTAACACCGCGTTTATAACATGTGTAGATATTATGTACATGTATATATCATATGATCATTTCGTTTTGTTATTTTTCAAAAATCATTTACTGTCAATTGATACAAAACTGGTTTATTTATTTGAATAAACAAGTATAAATGATCTAAAAAGTTTTGAGTTTTTCTTGACGCATCAAACATTACTTATATATATGACTGATCGAGCATATTTTACTTATACTTGACATTTATTTGCTTATGAATATATGTAGTTAGTGTGCATATAGTTTGACTACCTTTACTCAAACAACATATAGAGTACAAATTAACAATACAATGTAAATAATTAATTACATTGGCAAAGGCGAAGAAACATCAAATAACATATTACACAGTAATATTGTAATTTATGATTCCCAAATAAAAATATTAACTAATAGAGCGACAAAAAAAATTACATATATTTCCATTTAAACCTTACAGGCACATTATGCCTTAGAGAAAAAAAAACGATTTTGATTTCATAAGAACAGGCAGACACGAATTTCGTAATGTTTAAATAATAATTTTAGAGAACGTTAGATGCATGTAACCTGATAAAAGGAGCGATAAATGGGAAATAATACAAAATCCTTATTCAGTATAACTGTAGATCTACTTATTCCTAAAAAGCAACAGATGAAAAAAGATTGTTCGGGTAATTGGCCAGTGGATCAACTTTTGGATACTATAATGGTACACCAAAAATAAAAAGCTTTTGAGAAATAACAAAAAAATATATGCCTTTAGGAATGCCTCATAAATACCATGTTACGCGTTTTGGCAATAGCTTTGTACTGATATGGCGTTATTGTATTATTATTTTTTTAATCCATTTATTTAGTTATATGTAACTCAAGCAAATGCCTTTAATACCTTTCTGGCTAAGCGATTTCTCCTTTGCACATGGTAATTTGGGTGTAGATTGTTTGCGTGGCAGGTGCTTATAGAGTCAATCGTAAGCATCTTCAAACATTGTTCTTGTCACTGACCAGTTTAAACAAATTAAGGTATCATTAGAAATAAATGTTACTCCTTACATTTACTAAATGATTAGTATGGCTATGTAAGACACACGATATAGGTACAGTTCTATCTGTATGGACAACAATAAACGGTTCGGATACACTGTACTCCATCCATGCATATTCATACTAAAGAACTTTGAAAACGCACGCCTGTATTTTATGGATTGTTTTACACTAAAAACGAATCACGGGGGTCTCCATCAAATGTAAACCATACAAGCTTGTTCCCGAAATGTCTTATTTATTCCATTTCATAAAAACATGAATTATTCAAATGTTAACTCGATAATTGAAAGTAGTGAAAATCAGTTTTTGTCAGAAATAAAGGTACCGCTACGAAAACAATGTGACAGTTGTAAAAAGAAATGAAAAGGAATAATATTTCAGTAATCATCTGCAGCAATCTATTCACAAGAAGTCTATTTACAAAGAAAGTGTTTCTTTCGATTTTTATGGTATAAGATATGATTATTTTGATATTAAAAACGCTTTTGATGTGAAAACAGTCTTAAACACTCTTTTTTATTTATTGATTTATTTATCTGTATTTTTTATTTATTTATGAATTTGTTTATTTATCTTTTGTCGAGATTGCCTTTAAGACACATACTGTTTTGTAATGTTTCCGCCATTAAAGAGAAATATGTTTCTTATAATAGACGGTAAAATACATTGGAAAGAAATTTACTGTCGTATTTATTAAGTCACACAGTCACGCCATTTATGTCTCCTCAGAATAACATAATGGCATTTCAATTACAACAAAAGGATCGTGATAGCCTTTTCTACGTAGTTTGCAAAATCAAATATATAAATACAATTAGTCTAAAATAATTCAAAATAAATTTAGCAATATTTTATCAATGGTTTTGTTTCATTTGACCATAAAATATATATCTACACTGAAAATAGTTTCCAAGAACTGATATGTACACAATCAATACGAAAATCAATCATCTACAGTTCTTGATAGTTTTACCCCACCCACTTAGACATGTGAAATTCTTAGAAATCCCACTCAATAAAATCTTTTTAGCAAAATGAGTTGGTAGACATAAATGTTTGTTTCGTGTCAATGTCTAAAGAAACGAATTTATTTGTGAATGTACAGGAGAAGAAAAAAAAGTTACAAAGATCATTTAAAACAAAGACATTCTTTCCATATTTTTCCACATAAGCTCTCCATTCATTTACCGTGAAAAATATTTGTTATTAAAAGAAGATGTTAAAGCTAGATTTCTGAACCATATTGGATTAAAATAATACGAAATAAAATGATTTAAGGATCAAACAAAAACTTAACATTGGTAGGATATGTCATTTTTTTATAATATTTCATACGTATTGAGTAGTGAAAATAATTTTGCTTGTGTAAGTTGTTCTATGTTGTCATATGTTTCTTAACAACAATCAATAGGAAACCATGTTTGATTTTTTAAAAGGGAGTCCTACTAATACCCTATTTTGAAAACCCTTACTTCTTTATAGTAAGAACCCATGAGTTGGCTCGTACCACACAAAAAAAAATTATATTAGTCATTGAACCGTACCATTGGAACTGCATAAAAGTGTATAATAGCTAACTTTCCAAAAGCTCTCACAGTTAAGCATTTTCCTTGAAGGCTCCCAAAAATTGATAAATAAAAGTTTCGTTAGAAATATGAAAATTATCAATACATACTTCAGTAAAAATAAAGTATAATGCATCAGTGCTCAGACAAAACTTACTCAAGACTATCTAAAACATAACGTTTTTGGTTTCAAAATATAATCGTTTACTGTTTTCTTATTTTACATTTATGTTTATTCTTAGAAAAACATTCAGTGTTTGCAGAAGCAATTCATGAATAAATCGTTGCTTCTTTGACAAGAAAATAGGTTTGGCATCATATTTCCTTTGATAATACATGGAACATATCATGGTATTGCGTGACAATTCATCGTTCTATTATAGAAAATGCGAAAATGGTTTACTTGTCTGTTCACGTGGAGCAATTTATAGAGTCCAGTGCATAGATGTAGAAGGATCAAAAATGGTATATAAGTGTTTCAATATACAGTTGCGCATCAACAAAATTATGATATTTATAGTTATATGCACGTTCAATACATTTTGCAAACACATATGAACAAAAGGACTGTTTGTATTTACAACAACATAGTATTATCACCCCCCCCCCCCCCCAACAGGTTACCATGCATTATGTTTCAGTTTAGACATCGATTTTAGTTTATACGGAATTTATTTTAGTTTGATAGTGTAGGAAACTATAAGTTTATAGAGTTTATAGACATTGTTGAATCTGTTCCTAGCACCAACCGGTATTAACCAATGAGTTTAATGTTTCTTGCTAAGGGACACAACGGCTTTGAATCCATGCAACAAGGCATCCTTAGATTACTGGTCCGAAGCTTTAACCACTAGCCACTTTTTAATAAATTTTAATCGTTCTGATATATCGTCACTAATTGTTAAGATTAGAAAAAAAAACGCTGAAATTATTGATTACCCGTTTTACTTCATATTTCATATTATCACTTTTGGAATATTACAGCAACAAAGATCATGATTTCTTGTTACTTACATACAATATCATGAACTACTGATGATTTGCTTCCATGTGTATTTACCCCAAATATCTACTACGATAAACCGATTACCTGCCAAAGTTCAATTATTTTATTTAATTTTGAGCATGAACTCCATGAAAAATGTCTTTGGTGATTGTCATAGACATTTCAATGTGACACTCTCGGGCTATTCTATGAAAAGTGACAAATGATCGTCTTGCTGATAACTGTCTGCACAAAATACGAGAATACCCTCAAGTTTATTTTACAGACAATTTTATTTAAATTATTACTATGAAAAGGCCGTATAAAGATTTTTATTTGGAAATTTTGATCGTCACTGACTTAATATCCTCAAACTATAAGACTTCTAAACATTGTTTATACATTTGTAATCAATTGTACTTAACGTTCCTGAAAGTTGACGTAGTTAACGTAATATTTCTTTATGATTTAAAAATATGGACATTATTAAGAGAGTATCTCATAGACCAATGATTGTTTTTATTCTAAGGCGATACATTTATACCAGCTACTGACATTCTGTCGAGGTTTAAGTTTTGTTTATATGCAAAGCATTATTTTAATAATCACCCTCAAATAATCACATTTTCCGTTCATGTTGCAATCAACAAGTGAGTCAATTATTTCTTCCTCTCATTTAATGACTTTATCGGCTGTCATGAACAATTTTTCATTCTAGCATTGATACCTTTTATATCAGAATTTAGTAAAATGGTAATCATTTTTCATTTCATGTTATAAACAACAGAATTTGCTTATAATGCACAGTTAACTTTATCAATAATGTCTTCTTTAAAATCACACAAAATACTAAGAGTGTCACTTTCATTCATTCATTTATATTTCCCAAGTAGTACCTCAATTTTATTAGTGTTGACAATTCTGACATTGTCAGGGCTGTTTAGAGAAAAACAAAGCTGAAATTGATAAATTACTGAAACTTCAAAAGTAATAAAAAGAAGAAAACTTACTTCAATTAATTCAAATAACCAATCAGCAAATATCGTCGCTAAATTTTTGTTTCATTTTTACAGTCTGAAAAATAAAATTCCTTCCACATGCAAAACTGCTCTTGATGACATTTGGGCATATTTAAGTATCTTACGAGCAATAACTGCCTAATAAATTGAAAAGCAATGACAGCCATTAGCCCGAAGAATAAGTAAACAACCCTGCGGTCGTAAGGCAGCCTTTCAAAAAGTCCATGTTTTCCAATTTCCTAGCCGCTTTTTGAATGTTTACACATCTGTCAACACTTATTTATTGTCTGTAACAATCCTCAAAAAATATTTCTTTCTTCTAAAAAGATGTATGACTAACAAATCAAAATGAAATCCCTCTGAATCAAAACACAATTTTTTTCTCCCGTGAAATACACAACTTTTAGGAATGGCGGTCGCTTACATTTCATAGAGCCAGGTCTAATATAAATTCACAATAAGTAACAGAAATAACAATGGATGCTTTGACTTTTTCTCTCCTATTATTTTTGTTTTTATTATTAAAACAAGCGATCATTCGTATTATTTGAATAAAATCAATAATATCATCGCCATTTGACGTTGATTGTCGAACTTATTTTCAGCCCAAGACTTCTTGTATTTTATGAGAAATTTGATTGAATGAGGCTACCAGTGGTTAAAACAGATTTTAATATTAAAGATAATATTCATGAAATTTCATTTAAACGTGTTTGTAATTTTATTTCATTTCTCGAATTTTAAAAACAGTATTCTCACTCGTGGCTACGTCACTCGTGAGAATACTCTTTTTAAAGCTCACACGATGAAATAAAATTTCATCTTACACACAAACAAACAAATATCCTCTATATATTTTTGCATAATGTTATGGATATTGACATTTCTTTTTAGAATGTAAGAATGTTGGCAAATGTGGCATAAAAAATTGCAAAAATGTAGCAACCATACAATGTTTTAAATTGTATTTAAGATTAGTAGAATAAAGGGCGATTTAATTCATTAAAAAATAGGGGATTTCACAACGTTAAAATTCTGTTGAGTCCGTTTCAAACGACCTATAAATTCATTATCCCATAGAACAATGAAAAAGAAGAGTACTACTTTTGAAAGCTTCCACATAAAAATTAACATCAGCTGTTGTAAACAGAATAACAATACATGTATACAATACTAGGGAAAAGGAAGGTTATTCGAAAGCAATGTAAATAACGGTTATAAAGATGCAATTTTATGAGTATATCAACTCTATTTAAAACTGGAAACATCATACTGCGTGTGTCTGTTTTTATTATCTCACTTGCATGATATTATTTGCTTTATTTTGAAGTGTCTTCGTCATTTTGATTTCCTTTTAATGCCGTTTTAGATCTTTATTTTAGAATAGCGGACAATTTATGCATTCTGTTATTTGATCTTGGTTTTAAAAGACTTTGATAACCGATTAATTGTTAAGTCGTACGCGTCATTTATGTTGTCTGTCTTTTATATGATGATCAGCAGCTGGTACCACATTCAGTAGACAAATGATACCATGCTGAAAACCAATAATATAACAGTGATAAAATGCCTCATCACTGCAGTAAACGCTTGTGACCTTCCTCTATGTAAATTTCCATTCAGAAAAAAGCAATTGGTAGAATGTAAGGGGCTTGTACAGCAGAAAAATGCGTGGTAAACATCCTGTCATTTTGAAATAAACCTGCTGCATTCCGAAAAACACTTGACCAAGGCAATACCGACATCAATTTTCCACTACGTGTGAAGGTTCATACTATCTGTGTATATAAGTTGTTCATTGTTAAACAATAAATGTGATGAAACATAAACTGTAGAATATATAAATCGCGGGAACGTTTGATATTTGTTTCATCTTGGGTAAATAAAATATCAATTTAGAACAAACATTTATGTACTCATTACGTTATGCATGGGTGTCACCATTTTGGTCGCTTTTCACGTTGTATTCAATGGTGTTATATATATCTTTTTTATAAAAATAACTATGCGACATATTCCCATTATCACAGCGTAATGTTGTATCAGTTTTCTGTCATTTTTCTATCACATGGCTTAATTGCCATTATATGCTGTTTTAAATATCTAAATTGCTATCATTTTATGAAGACGTTAGATTTCCTCTTTAACCGAATTTTGTTAATGAAATAAGATATTTGCTTTAGCGATTTCTGACAGTAATTGCTGCAAAAGTGCGTGCGATAGAATTAATTCAAGTGAATTGCATTTAAAACATTTTGAGATTAATCTTCTGTTACAGTTAATTCTCGGTTTGGTTAAAAGGTCGATTTAACTTTATAACTGAATACATTTTTTATTCTAAAAAAATTCCAAACTGTTTATTAATATTTTAGTAATAGATTTAGAGCATACTAGATGCTTATCACCTAAAGAAAGAATCGGTAAGTGTAAAATAATTTGTCATAACAGAAGCAAAATGTGAAGCGTTGTTTAATTTTCATATAATCACTATAAGTGTACTGTTTGCCAAAATGTACAAGATGGGCCATGACAAACGAGTAATTGTTTGCAAGATATAAATTAATAGCTTTTGGGAAATAAAATATAGCATCTTTTGGCATTAATTGGCCTTTAATGCGAATCTTAAACAATCTTTTAAAATTTGCACTGTCTCTTTAGGGTTCATTTCTGGATATTTGTTTCGGTTGCATCAAAAGTCAGAAAGACCGAGTCAAAGCAGGTTACAATTTTAAAGAAAAGAAATACCAAAATAATTATACTGAAATATCAAATAGTTTAATAGTGTTTAAAAATATTGAAACAACATCGGTTAAATATCAACCATACGGTCTGAGCTATTTTGTATCTGTCTGACGAGAAAGGAAACAAAAACGTTGACTGCCTGTATGTATAGTTAGAATATTCTTTCCTAAAGCTAAAATCTTACCAATGAAGTATATGAGGTGATGTTGAACATCATGGTGTAGCAGATAGTTCGTGAAGATGAAATCGTGAATTCTTGAAGTTGAACTCGTGAATTCACTTAGCTGAAATCGTGAAGTTCAAAACGTCTGGAAGCTCAAATCATGAATTCATGGATTCGTGAAGTTGTATTTGTGAATTCAGAATGTTGTTAAGCGTGAAGTCAAGAAGTTACAATTGTGAATACACGAAAATGAAATCAGAAATTCATGAAGTTGAAATGTCCCCACTGGTTTTCCTTACTTAGGTAATTTAGCTAAATTATTCGTTTTACGTTTAAATTTTCATAGCCCATTCCTTTTTCTACAGAATAAGTCATTGCGTTTGCTTTATAAAACCGCACATTTTAATGAGTTCATCGAGAAATTTATGACCACATACCTTCTACAAGGAAGACATACACATGTCACCAATTTAGCATTTACGAGTTATGTAATTTCCTAGAGACTTATGGAAATCAGCATTTAAATTATACAAATCTATAATTGCTTAAAATGTACATTTAGGACAAAAGGAAGCATGCTGATTAAATAAGTTTACTTCATAATGACCTCGCCTCTGGCAAAAGCTAAACTCTTTACACATAAGTATACACATAAGGTATATAAAAATTGTCCATTCCGTTGTTCTGTAGTCAATAAATTCTTCCAGAAATAAATATCTAAAACATTATTACTGTAAATCTACTCCAAAGATCTTCTTGCTTCATTTAAATTCCTCTGTCTATAAAAATATACCAACTACTTGTTTCCAAATTTAAAAAAACGGCTTTACTTTTACCTTAGTTAATCATGCTACACATGATACAAAATTTGACAAACGTATAAACAAGTCTACATCATAAAATAGAACAAATTATTTTCCGTATAGTCATCCGTATCATTTATGACTTCTCTTTAATCTTGGAATGGAAACCAGCAATTAATTTAATTAACTTTTGACGTATGTTATCACATGCAATAATATTTTTCTGAAGAAGAATAAAAGAAATATTGTTGTAATGTCAGTCAATATATTACACAATAAGTTTGAAATGAGGAAACTTTGATTAGTTTAGAGGACACACGAGGTTAAGAAGACAAATAGTTTGGTTTTAGTAGGTTCATTTAGTGTTAAGGGCATTTCCATAAAGTTAAAAAAAATTAAATATAGTTGTTTGGCTTTCATCTTTTATTTATTTGTTATAAACATAAGCAATTAGTTTTTATGTGTCATTGAATATATAAAACTGACAGTATGGAGATCAATTCCTGCTGTTCCACTTTGTCTCTCTGTGTAAAGAAGACAGTTTTGATCAAATAAGTTCCTTTGAAATACAAGAGTTTAATGAGTTCTCAGATCACGCACCGTTAGCATTCTCGATTAATAGTGGAGGACTAAAAGATCACTTTGACCAACAAACACACGGTGAGGATACTTGTATACGTTGGGACAGCGATAAGAGAGACGCTTTTCGTAGATCTTTGATATCGAAACTACCCGATTTTAATGCTATACTAATTGGTCATGATAATTGTGATAAAACATCTATAAACAAATGTGTTAGTGATTTTGTAAGTCTTATAAACAATGTTGCTTCTCCGCTGTTCAAAACAACAGTAAAGAAACGTAAACAAACAGGCTTTGTACACAAAAAATATCCTGTTAAAAGGTCTCAGTGGTTTGACAACGAATGTCATAATAAGAAATTAGAATACCTCGAAGCATTGCAATTGTTTAATTGTACGAAAACAGACGAAAATAGAAATTATTTTAATCTAAAAAAGAGAGAGTACAAAACTGTTTTGAAGAGGAAGAAAAAAATATATACTAAGTTGAAAATGTCCGAAATTGAAAACTTACGTGGAAAAAATCCCAAAGCATTTTGGTCGTACTTCTCAAAAAAGAAATGCAGAAAAGGAGAAAATATTGATATAGCCGATTTTTACGAATATTTTAAAGGGATATCTGAGGAAATTTCAATCTCAGGCAATCACGACGCAGAGGAATTTTGTAAGAGAAATCTGAACCATAATGACGTCATATATGAAGAGCTCGACGGGGTTATTACGTCAGAAGAAATCTTGAAAGCGATTAAATCTCTAAAACGCGGTAAAGCTGGCTCCTTAGACCACTTGATTAATGAATATTTCATAGAAGCAGGAGATATTTTAATCGGACATATTGTTGATATTTTCAATAACATTTTTGATAGTGGATATTTTCCGGATCAATGGATGGAGGGATTGATCATACCATTATATAAAAAAGGTGACGAAAATCAGGTTAATAATTATCGCGGTATAACTTTAATAAGTTGTATAGCTAAATTGTTTACATCAGTGCTAAATAACAGACTTACTTGTTGGTCCTGTAAATATAATATTAATACGGATGCGCAGTTTGGATTTCGCGCGGGATTTTCTACAACAGACGCTATTTTTGCTCTTCATACTTTAGTGGAAAATATGTTGAATAATGGAAAAAGACTATATGTGGCTATGGTAGATATGAAGAAAATCTTCGATTCTATTAACAGAAATGCTTTATGGTATAAGCTGTATAATTTAGGGATTTCTGGAAAGATGCTCCGTATGCTTAGATCTATGTATACTGAAGTGAGGAGTAAAATCAAACATTGAGAAAAATACTCTGTCTTTATCAATATTGCTATAGGCTTGAAACAAGGGGACATAACTTCGCCATTATTCTATGCTCTGTTTATTGAAAACATTGAAATATATTTACAAGAAAATCAAAATGGAATAACGTTAAAAGAAGTTACATTAATGCTTCTTATGTATGCAGACGACATGGCGATTTTAGGCGAAAGTCCGGATGATCTACAAAGAAATTTAGATTTATTGAGTGAGTACTGTAAATTATGGGGTATTGAAGTTAACACGGAAAAGACTAAAGTAATCATCTTCAAAAAGGGAGGAAGACCCAGAAGAAACGAAAAATGGACCTATAATGGTGTTAACTTGGAAACTGTTTCAAATTTTAATTACTTAGGAGTCGTATTTAGCTCGTCTGGAAGTTTCAATTCAAATCAAAACGTTCTAGCTGGTAAAGGTCTTAAAGCTTTGAACTTCTTATTGAACAACATTAAACACTTTGATTTAAAACCAAGTACGTATTGTCAGTTATTTGATGCTTTTGTTGCTTCCATTTTGAACTACTCATGCGAGGTATGGGGAGTAATAAAATCTAAAGAATTAGAGCGCATTCATTTAAAGTTTTGTAAAAGGGTTTTAAATGTGAAAATAAGTTCAAGCAATGCTAGCATTTACGGCGAACTAGGAAGGTATCCGTTATTTATTAACCGCTATGTTCGTGCAGTAAAATACTGGTTAAAGATTAACAATTCTGATAACTGTATTCTGAAAGAGCTGTATGAAATATCATTAGAGGATTTTAATAACGGGAAAACAAATTGGACTAGTAATATAAGAAATATCCTATATTCATACGGTTTTGGTTATGTATGGGAAAATCCGTTATCAGTACAATCCAATTATTTTCTTATGGAGTTTAAGCAAAGACTGACTGACAGTTATAAACAAGAATGGTCGGAGAATATAAGCAATAACAGTGTATTGTGTTCATTATATAGACATATTAAAACTGAATTCGGTTACGAAGAGTATTTAAATATCTTGCCGAAAAGCAAACGTTATTTGTTAACTAGACTAAGAATATCGGCACACAATCTTAGGATAGAAACCGGACGCTATGGTAGAAATAGATTAGACAGGAATGAAAGACTTTGTCAAATATGTGAATCTAGCACGGACATAGAAGATGAATACCATTATGTTCTGGTGTGTAAAAAATTTAGTGACTTAAGAAAACAGTATATATCAAAAAAATATTGGAAAAAACCGAGCATGTGGAAATTTTGCGAACTGTTAAAATCAAAGAAGAAATCTGTGTTAAATAATTTGACCTCCTATTTATTTCATGCATCAAAACTTCGCAATGCTAGTACTAACGTATAATATTTATGGCTCATCCTCTACCTTTGATTATAGTTTTGATTATGTCTTGTAGTATGATGTTTTCCTTTTTGTTTTGTAAATTGTATAATATGTAAAATTATGAATATATAGCTATAATATGTTTATTATAATATTTTGACCTATGTTTATATGTAATTGCATGTATGGAAGAGGAACGTAAGTTCAATTCCTTATTGTTGAATAAACGTATTCTATTCTATTCTAAAAAACTAACACATATTGTGATAAATATTATATTTTTATAAGCCCTGATAATTGTTAACAATATGACTTTTCTATACTAATAGAAAAGATTTTGATTTTGCAAGAGTGTTGTGTTTGTTTTGTTTCTTTTATCAAAATGATGTGTTTCGAACAATAATCTTTAACTCAATTTACAATTACAAATTTATAACCATTAATGATTGTGAGGCGATAGGAAGCGTATAATATCTTCATGTGAGGCAATATTACTTGTTGACCCGTGACATTTTAAATAATTTAAAAATTTGGCGAGATGAAATATTGCTTTTGCAAACACTTGGCAAAATGTCAAATTAATTTGTATCTGTATAGCAAAAATACATTCATATCCTTAGTCATTAATTAATTAATACTTAATTAGTTGTTAAAAATTAAGCCTCAGTAATACAGTTTGAGCACTTCTAGAATCTTTCCGCAGCAAAATCCATGTTCAATAATCCTAACCCTAACCGTCTAACCCTAACCAATAACATTAACCCTAACCTATAACACTAACCCTTACCCATAACACTAACCAAAGAAGTAATATTAGTGGTTTTTAGAGAAACATAAACTGACAAATATTGAAGAAATAATAACGTGCAATATGTTAAAAATAGCTGCGGTCTAGCCAATAGAGTTTAATATTTAGTGAGAATGTTTGTTTGTTTGTTTGTTTATTTGTTTGGATTTTTACGGCACGTCAACACATAACTATCCATGTCGTGCCGAATGCTATAATAGGCTTAAAATGTTATGTAAAACTTTGTAAATGACAATAAAAATGAGTCAATTAGATCCTAGAATACAAGTTTATCTCTTTCAAATGATCAATGATGTTTTTGATGGAATTGTATTAAAGAGTTCTTTGAGTGAATTTACACAATAAAATCTATTACGGGCCTGTGGAAAATCATGACATTCAAGAAGAAAATGCTTGGCAGTAAATTTTTCATTACAAGCTACACAGAAAGGGGCATTGCCATTCGTGAGGAGAAAAAGGGTGGGTAATTTAAGTGAGCCAATTCGGCATTGAAGAAGAACTGTTTGATCATGGCGGTTTGGCAGAGATAGAGATGGTGACACATCAAGAGATGGCTTTATATCGTGAAGTTTATTAAAAACGGCATTGTCCCAATTTGCTTTCCATTCAGATAATACGAGTTTATTAATAGCCGGTCTAAAATCACAAGCAGGTAACAATAAGTCAGTTTTTTGAAAATTGAATGATTGTTTAGCTAAAGCATCGACTTTTTCATTTCCTCGTATACATACATGACTTGGAATTCAATATAATTTAACCGATTTTGTTTTAAGTATATTATGAAATCGTTAAAGAATGAAATTCTTTTTCTTAGATCTATTACCAAATGATTCTTCAAATTAGTAACAGCTGATTGATACTCATGTACTGATTTTATTAGGGATCAGATATTTTATTGATTTAACCTATATGCAAATGATATCAAATTTCGTCATCAGTTTGCATTGTCAGTGTTTGCTTGTAAGACACTCAAGTTACTATGTAGATGATTTAAAATAGTTTGATTACAGCGCGTGTCAACCAATCACACTTTGATAAACTTATTTGCTGTATCGTAATCATTCAAACGAACAAGTGATGCTTATGTGTCACCATAAAAGCATTTAGCATTGATATACATACATCTTAGGAACTTAGAGCAAGGCAACCTTAGAAAAACATTACTGGAGAGAAGGATTTGTGGTGCAAAGAAATGCAATTGAATCAAATTTTAAAAAATCCATCAAAAATGTTTATCTGTGATACAAAATTTTCATCGAACCATATCTTATGTTTATCTTTGTTTACCTAGAAACTCTCGAGATCGGCCATCACTTAAAAACATTACATTTGATTCACATTATTGTATTGTAAGAGAGATATATTTACTTATGACGACAGTATAGTGCAATATTGTTTAGACTTTGATAAAACTTTAATTCGCGAATAACAATTGTTTCAATTTGCAACAGACATATATAATGGCGACAAAAGTGGTTTGAATAGCAATGAAAGAACACTAGCTGATGTCAATTCGTTATCATAAATGACAGAGGTTAACTTTTAATAGATCAAAGTAATTTTAATTCAAAAGGGATATTCATTGTAAAGCGGACAAAATGATTGTAAATATTAAATTTGATTCAATTCATTGGCAATCCACAACCCTGTTTTTATTATGCTTGTTTTCATTTTAATGAAAGATCAATAATAATGCATATAAAGTTTAGCAATTTTAGTAATCTGGTAATAATCAGGACTGTTCACAGTTTAATGCTATGCTTTCCTAACGGTAAAATATGCTTTCTTCAGATAAATTTGTTAATATCAATGTCCAAACAAAGGAATTATGGAAGAAAACGAACTTTGTAGTCGTTAATAAGTTAAAACGGTCGGGAAACTCCACAGTTTCTTTAATTTGTCATTCCACTCTCTATATTTAAATCAGAACGGCGGTCGATTCACTTCGCGCGTGCACCGTGAGCAGCGAAAATAGCATGTATATATACATTCGGAACTGCCTCGGCTATTATCTATAATAACCTCGGAAACAATACGGATTAAAAGTAGTTCTACCACGTGGTGTCAGATGTAAACAGAAACGGAGATAATGTAAAACGAATGTATATATTTGACATCTAATGTGTGTCCCGGTACTCTTATGCTTGGAAATATGACTGACAACAATTTGTAATTTAAGTATGCCCACTGATGTTCAATTTTAAACAAATCCGACTAAATGTCAACAGGTTGGTTTTTTTTATACTTTCAGTTTCTACGGTTTCTACAACCATAATAATAAATTATAAATAATGTACTGTTTGCTTTTGTAGCTATGAATTCACTTATTTAAGGTGGACTTTTACTACATATATTGGAAATAAACTTGTCAACAACTCCAAGACTTAAATTACTATTTGTTTACATGTTTAGTTTCTTAGCGTAGGTTAGACCGAAATACCGCATTCGTTCTGTGTATTCATACTATTGTGTTCGAGGTCCTTATCCGAAGACTGACGGAAACGGCCGAGTAGTTGCGATTGGTATATATATTTCCACAACCAGTTTTTTCTGTGATTTTCAACGCTTCCCGACAGAACAAAAAGATTTTCCTCCGGTTATCAAATACCTAATTTACCGTGAATATACGTTTGCAACTAAGGATATTCCTGCAGCTATTTTCTTACCTAACTTTTAGTACTCGTGCTTTCTGTGTCGGCAATTGTTATTATTGTTGAGGTAAGCTTGTGTAACAGTATAGCGCGCACTTCTGATCTTCTATTTTTAGATATGTACTTCACTGAAGGTTATATATAGCTCTCTGGACGCTGGTTTAAAAAAGGCTTATCAGATTTGTTTCCAGAATTTTGTACTT